GCAAAGTGGGTGCTCCTGCAGCACCTCAGAAAAGAAGATGATAAATGGGGTTTGTTGCTCCGGGATGCAAAGGGAAAAAGTGCAAATGAGGGGCTGGGACTCAGCTTTGTGGAGGCTGAAGCTGAAGCTGCAGCAGCTATGCCAGGACCCATGGAGAAACAGCCTCAGCACAAGTTGTCTCTTGAGCTGTTGGCTCTTAGAAAGGAAAGAGTCACCTTACGTATGTGCTGGGACTCTTTCTAAGCAGTAGCTTAGAAAGCTACTGTGGATCTGACATAGCGTGGCAATACCTGCTAGCCTAGTGCAACCCTGGTCCTTCAGACCTGCCACGCTACCCATGAGAAGGGACAGAGTTATTCCAGAAACAGCATAATTCACTGCTTTGTCACACATGCTTTTACTTTTTCCATCTGGTTCTTTAAAGTACCCTTTCATTTCTGTCACAGTGTTTGGAGATCAGTTCCAAGGCAAACATCTGGAAGGACAGGTCTCTATTTTAAGAGTATTTACTGCGGAACAACAGGCTCTTTGGTACAGGGTGATAGTTCTTCAGACAAGAACTGCTCTTGGAAATGTGCGTGTGGGGGGAGCTCGGGTAGGAAATACCTCTGTTGTTATGTGGAAAAGGAAAAGAAACAAACTGCGGCTCCAAAAATGCCTGTTTCCAAAAGTATGTATCACCGCAAGGGAATTCTGGGCAGGCCTCATTGAGCCTGCATCTTCCCACATCGAGCCCCAGCAGCGGCAGCTGGACGGCGGGCGCTGTGGGGAGCGAGGGTTGCGACGGTGCTGTGGGTTTGGGTTCCTTAAACAAAGAAAAATCCTTTCTGGAGCCTTTTAGAGACAGTCTCAAGCACTTCCAGCGAGCAGAGTGGAAGAGCCAAAGCCGCTGTCTCTGCTGTCCCACAGGCAGTGTCCTGCTGCTGACATTTTCAACGCATGTGGCGGCCACATGTGCCAGGCGGGACCATGACTCCCAGCAGTGGGTCCCTGCTGGGCTGCAAAGTCTCAAATAGTCTCATTAGTAGGAAATAGGTGCCAGAAACGCAGAAACACTTGACTCTATCTGGAGGCCATTCACCCTGTCAATATGAGTCAGAGAAGGGGAGCGGGAAGGGGGATGGCTGCTGACAAAGCCATGGCTCATTTTCACAAGAACTTTCTTGGGATCATGCTGATGCTTTCGTGTCTGTTTATCAGTCACAGCATTGAGTGGCCAGGTGCATCTGCTGCTGGACACAACCCTGGCACTCTGTTTAGTCTGGACACCCTACTATAGTCCCTCATGAGCTGATAGGGTGGGAAGAGAAGAAGGAGAAAAGCAACTGGCATTGGCAGTCTGGAAAGCTGCATTCAGGTTCCTTTCCAAGGCAGTGATGGCAAGGAGGTCAGCAAAGGGCTGCTGGACATTTGGCTTCTTGCACCAGACAGTGCTCAGGGTAGTGGGGCAAGAAAGGCAGCAGCAGAAAAGCTGCAAATACTTGTTCCCTAGCAGTATTACCCCTTTCCTACTGAGGCTGCTAAAGGCGCAGAGCTGAGGTCAGTGTGTTTCTGAGCAGGTAGGAAGATAGCAGGCAGTGAGAAAAACTAGAAGTATTAGAAAATGGCCTTGAAAATGATCCCGGAATTCCTAAGACTTCCAACCTCTCTGTCCAAAACAAATCCCAGGTGCCGTTGCCAGTTTTTCTGCCTTTGCCCTAAAAGACCTTCTGAGGTTGCAGCTCTTCCCCTAGCTCCAGCACACAGGAGGCAGCAGTGCCATGCGGCAGCTTCGCCCGCATGGTTTTGGCCTGGAGGGAGAGCAAAGAATCCACGAGTGCCAGTTAGCACAGGGAGACACAAAGCATTTTTTTCCCCCTTCTAAAGTGAAATCTTGCCCTGAGTCAGGGCACTTACTGCTGCACTGTTTGTCCTGTAGTTTGAGTCATTGCATTGCTCAATCTATCTCAAACATTCTGGCAAGCCCCTGGCATAGGGATGTCCTGCAGGGCGAACAAGCAGCCCTATGTCAGCACAGCAGCTTCACATAGACTTGCATGAAAAAAGGAAATAGAGGTCATCTCCATTTTTTCTATTAGTATTTCTATTATTACTATTTTATCGGAGGCAGTAGTGGGGATATGGGAAGGGGATGAGGTGGGGTGGTGGGTGAGACAATAAAATAGCTCCTAGGAACTGGGACATCGTGTGAACCTGGCTCAACAGGCTGTAGTTCCAACCCCAGCAGGTGCTTCCCGAGCCTCAAGGCAGGCACTGCCCTGTGATCTGAATCCCAGGAAAAACAGTAGGCTTTGGACAAGGTGCTCACCTGCATCTCCTATCTCAAATCACCACCATGGACTTTAGCCTTCAATTCTGTTGACCAAGGATATCCAGGTCTGGGCAGAACAGGAAAGAGTAGCTTTTAGCCCCTCCAGGCAGGAGAAATCACTGGGAATGGCAGATCCAACCTGGCACAGAGGAGCAGCTGGCAGCAAGCAGGTAGCATTGGGATGGTGGCACCTCTGCACGTCGGCTCCATGAGAACATCACCAATCATGTTCATATGACAGGAGGGTTTTACGGAGCCCCAGGCAGCAGCCTGCAGAGACCAGTGAGCAGCACAGCCTTAGCCTAATTGTCCCTAGGTCTCTTGATTTGTCTTTTTTTTACTGTAGAATCATTATTCCTTACTGTGCACAGGAGAAAGAATACTTTGTCTCTCTTCCTCCTTTAATTTTTTTTTCAAGCTTTTCTCAGTCTGACTTTCTAAGAAAAAGCAACACCAGTTCTTTCAATTTTTTCAAGGCCTTCCTTGCAGGTGAGGTTTTCCAGCCCTGTGTGCTACAGCTGAATCATCAGAAGTGTGGAAGAGAACTGCCCCAATAGGTATATGGGCCCAATATACCCCATATAGGATAGAAGGCCACAAAACCTGACATAAGGAAAAAGGCAGGACAAATGGGACCATGGATCACATACACCTGATGCTGTCAGGCCATTCACAAATCAACAGCTTTCCAACTTTCTTACAAATTTTGCAGGGGCTATCATGGTGGCTATGTGGTCATTTTTTCTGAGGGTGCCTCAGAACTTTCATGGATTTTCTTAGGGAGACACCAGAGACACAGTGCGCATTTGCGCAAAGTGCCTTTTCTTCTACTTTTTCTTCCATTTTTCCACACTGTGGCTTTGAATCACGATGTCAACAAAGCAGAATTCAAAACTGAAATCACCAACATTTACGTTGTTTTCACTTGAACCAATTTTTTTTTGACTAAAAGTGAGGTTTTTAAGCACTAATGTTTCATACAGAGGGATTCTCTATCCTTTATTTATGTGTTAAAAATAACTCTTTGCAACAATTAGTGCTAGATCATAATGCTACAGCCAGTGACATGCTAGGAGGAGATCGCATTGATAACGCAGGGGAATTACAGGGAAGCAGAATATTAAGG